AAACGCTTTCATTTAATGCGCCTCTAGCTGTTTTAATCCTACAAAGTATCCCTGGAGCTACGGTTGAACGGTTATTTTCACACAGAGATTCTTGCGAGCCTTTTTGCCAACCAATATTGTAAAATTGTGGCCGCTACAGGGCTTTGGCCCTTCACACCACTTCAGAGTGTGTGAAAGTACATGCAGAGCTCTTATTTTCTTCTGCTCCTGGAACCTTAGCCACCACCAGGGAAGAGGGCAGCTCTATCTGAGCTAATTCCTCATCATTTTGCCATTTTCGTCTTGTTAAGTATGGCAGCTATTCCTGACAAAAATTCCCTATCAGCACTGTCTTATACAGTATATCATGGATTTCATTTGTCTTGAATATACAGTTATGTAGCATATTACATTCTGAAAATCCTCCAGCGAAAGCGTCTTAAATGCCGATTTGAAACATGAGAAAGGAGGCAAACTATTCAGCCCACGTAGCTTGTGGAGCTGCTAACAGATCTTCGGATCTCATCCAGCCATTTCTTGAAGGAACCCAGTGTACGCACTGTTATCTTAAAATAATGAGTGAAGCACAAGACAACATGAACCAGTGTTCCCCCCAGTCAGATGTCTTGTTTATATTTATAACATAAGACCACATAAAATTCAAAAAATGTGAATAAATCATCATCTGCATCACAGCAGGAATCGTACACTAGCAATGCCCTACATTTTGCTGGACCTGAAATTTTTTGGAGCTGCAAGAAAAATAAGATTGAAAGGGTTCTTTAATGCATTGGGGCGACACCAGCCAATAAATATGAAACACGCGTTTGTTCTTGTTAAATTCATCTTGTTTCATTATTTCTTTCTTGCCAGATGAGAATATTTTCAATAAGAAAAAAAAATCACTCTATGCTTTAAAATCTTGATAAAAATGAAAATCAAAATTTCAACGGGCCCTCTTTTTCACCACATTGTTCATTCATTTCTGTGGCTGTCAACACCAACATAAAATCTAAGACTCGCTATATGGCTTTTTTCTTACGTTTTGCAAGACTCGTTTTTATACTATCTTTTAAAATCCTAAATTTAATCCCATGAAAATAATTCAAGTTTTCCAGTCTTTAAGATATTTTGAATTGCAGCCTTTCATTTTTATAGGGCGTGACTTTTCCAACGGTTCCTTGTCTTGTAAATCCTGGTGTGATGGCAAAATTCTGTACCAAACACACAGTCAGAGCATGGAAACATCATAAAATAACACTGGTCACAGGTCACTCTGACTAGCTTGTTTGGGTATCAGTGTGTTACAAGTTACAGATCTGTGAATCTGTTTCAGACTGTTTCTTGAAAGATCCCAAAGGATCAACTAAAACATGGATGCACAGCTTGTTCCAGAAACCCACCATCCTTTGAATAAATAATACCTTCCTTCTCTGAGACTTAAATAAAATGTATCTTAATATTCGTTAATGACCCTGGGAGCAGTCAGTCTCTGTTGACTGTGAGGTATTCTTTTGGAGTAACTCTGTCAAGACTTGTACTTACAGTAAGTCTCCTTCTGTCTGTTTTAGACAGAAAAAATCAAGTGCTTATTTTCAGTATGACACCCAGAGTCATGTGTAATGTTGGAATTACAGTCAATGTAATTTCCTTAGAAGACAAACCCTCACTAATTCTATATAATTCAGTTCATATGAATTCATCTTCAACTTCTATATCAAAAATAGAACTCAAACTATTTATCAGACTCTGTTTGTTTGCCTGTAAGTTTACATTTCCTGCTTGACCTTGATACTGTGACTGATATTCTTGTTGAGTGCAATCTACAGGTCTTGAACCCATGTAATAATGTTATTTGTTTATCCTGTGAGCTTACAGGCTTCAGTACAAAAGACATCTGCTATCTATTCTGCTGGAATCTTTTAGGAAGGAGTCACTGGTTTTACTTACAATACAACCAAATGCAAAAGTATCTCTTTCCTACAGCTTTTTCACTGAGTATCAACTTTGCCATGTTCTTCACTTATCCGTTTCTATTTTTATATGTTGTTTATGTTTCTAATAAAAGTATAGAGTTAGTGGGAGCATAGTGGCAAATGCTCTTTGCCTTTGCGATGAAAGAAAAGTTTTAACCCCGGCTTTCGAGATTCTCAGATGCTACTCAGAAACCACCCCAAAGACCCAAAGACGAAAGAGATTGGTCCAAAGATTTTAGGTGGTTTGTTTAAAACCACATAATAGCAACCAGCATGTCATTCAACTCTTCATAATAACAGTTACGAAAATATAGTGCATAATTAATATTTATATATCCCATTATTCATAAATGTTTCTGAAGTCTGAAGCAAATAATTTGAATAATTTGATATTCCATCAATTCCATCACAATTATGAAAGAAAGTGATTTAAAGATTTGTGAAAACATGCTCAAAGAGAAGCCAAAAAGGAAACTACTGTACTGTATGCTGCCCTAAATATTTTAGGCATTGCACCATCAGAAAGGTTTTTACCAGATGTGCAATAGAATAATATGTAATATTGTGTACCGTGTTAAGACAGGTTGGCACCACGTTCTTCAGCAAGGGTGTTTTGGACATTGATCAGCTTTACTGCCATAACCTTTCTGCAGAATAAGCCTGAAGCTTAAAACTGAAAAATAATTCACAATTTACAATCCCTTATTAGTATTTAAAACGTAAGGTTCTTTCCTTGCCAGTTTTAGAAATGACATACAACACTAGCATAAGAAGGCTGAAGGAGGACTTCTAAACAGCAAACAGTTGTAAAGTCTAGGCAGCTTCATCTTGTATTTAGTGCTGCTAAAATCTTACAGTGCTGGAAAGTGACTTTATAAAATTAAATAAAGAATAATACCAATAAAATAGTACATTTTGGTTTAGTTCAGGCACAGAAACACAAACCTTAACTTGCAAAAGTTTTGCCTCATACTAAATTATCCATTTAGTCCAGACCTTGAAGAATATTTATTTCTAATAAATATGTTTATGTGGGTAGACCTAACCAGCAAAGCACAAGTTAAATATTCTGTAAGGGCATTTGTGCGACACAGAGCTACACCAGTCCAGTATTTCAGGTTCCTGTCTAGTACTGAGATTCAGTAAAAGTACCCTGTGCCTGCAGGACGAGAATCACTGTAGCTGACATCCCACTACTGCTGTAAATCCAAGCAAAAGAAAACCCACGAAGAGTGATAGTCCCGTCATTCTGACTTTTATATTGTAACAGTTCTATACAAAAAAGATCACTTCTTAGTTTTAAAAAAAAAATTATAGGACTGAAAAATAACATATTCATATTTCATGTTATGACCCTTGAGGCTGCAATAGGATATTATACGCACGTAAGTCAACATGCAAAGGAATGAATGAAAGTGAAAAGTGCAGCTCAACAGACTGACAGCACCAATAAGTCCTGCATATTCACGCTAGGGCGAAGTTCACTAGGTATATACAGTATGTATGCCCTCACGTAAGGTGAGAAGTTATAATAATAAAGTCGATACTTAATTTTGTTCTGTCAGAAAAAAATAGCATCCTGGCTACTTGCTCCCGAAATGTGCAAAAAAATAAACATTTGAAGAACGCTTTTATAATATTTCCCAGCATCCTAATGAAGCAGGGACACCATTCCCAAAGCTTTTCTATTGCATTCAACTGAAGGAGGAAAACTTTTCCACATGGAGATTTATGATAAATATGCAGTACTTTCAGTTTAATGGAACGTTTCAAAAAGTGTGATACAGCAGAAATGTAAAAATCACTCCGGGAGCTGCACCGAAGATGATGTGCATAAGGAATTTTACAAATTACAAAATGATCCATATCCCCCAGCCTGCTCTGTAAACAAGTTCGTCCCGGTATCAGATCTAAATGCAGGGGGTAGCGAAATCGGTCACAATGGAACCAAAGCAGTTGGCCACTAAATTATGAAGTAATTAGCTGGTGCTTAAGAAAAGAGGATCTTGCAGTCAGACTGCGAAGCGAGCCGGAGAGCTCCACTTGCTGCAGGACTCTGTAGGCGATCAGGACCCCAAGAGGGACTGGGGTACACAAACCACATCCTGGGCAGTGCTGTCGCGTGGTGCGACTGCATGTTTTAGAGCACTTCATCATTGAGAGTGACCTGCCTGGCCAGGCTGGCATGGTCTGTTTAGGGTAGTTGTGTATTGTTTTTTTTTTAATTAAAAACCACTACCAAGCTCTGGAACTACAAAACTCTCACATTTCTTTCTACCAAGTGTCATCCCTGTCATAATGCTTCTGTAATAAACAGGTTGGCTGGGTAGAGCTCCTGAAAAGGCATCTAACTACTTAAACAATGGGATTATTACATTTAGTGCACACACTCATTATACTGGAATTTGGAAATTGCAGACTTTCGAAAAACAAAATGTACCAAGAATACAATAAATACTTTGTTTTTAAGATTGTAGTTTGTTCCTTTTTTAAACAAAAAAAAGCTCATCATCTCATGCTCAGAAGCAGAAGAAATAGCAGAGAAATATAGTGAAAAAACTGCATAAACTCAGTAACAAAAACAAATACAAAGAATATAAAGCTTTTAAGATACACAACATTTAAAAAGAAAATACAAGACATAGATCTGCTGAATCAAAAAGCACTAAATTCCCACATTTCCATCAGTTTCTCAATAGTGATGTTTTTATGTCATTATAAACCTATCTCTCTCTTCAGCACAATGAGTGTAAATAATGGACTTTCAACTCTCAACAAATTGTGTAATGCCTCATTGCTGAATTCCATTTTGTGTCAGCTTTTACTCACTTAGTGTATCACTGTTACAGATGTCTTGGTGGAAATCAGAGCACAAAGCCTAAGTTAATAGTGAATGCTTTTATGTTCAATTTGGCAAATATCAGGCTCATAGGCTGAAAACTGTGGCAGCAGGTATGATATACTATCTTATAGGTAAACATAGCCTTAAATTTTTCCCTAATAGACATTGTTTACAATGCAGGCTCAGACAATCGAATCTCTTACCTCTCAAAGCCGATTTGACGTATGGATTTCTCCCAGGTAGAACCTAACGAAAAAAAGAAGAATGAGAAAATAATGCATTTTCTCTTTAAGTTTTTGAAACATTCATACCGTATATGCAATATGTTTTACCCTGAATGTACGTGAATTTATGTGGTATACCTGCAAATAACTCCAACAAATATTTGAATCAGGTATGCAAATCTACATCCATGACCCTGTGTGAACCCAGTATTCCATATTTTATGATGTAAAGTGACTTTCTGTCTATTCTTTTAAAAAGGATTTGAAGCTTTTTGGTAGGGTGTGCCATTGTCTCATGCATTCCTAGCATTTGTGCAGGCTTATTGAAACCATTCTACACACTGTACACAACACATGCAATGTGATTAAAGGCCGCGAGACATCAAGGACCAAAAAGCAGACTTATGTGCACAATCCTTTGTTTGATTTAATTTGTTACAGCCTCTTCTTTCTAAACTTTGATACTATTTGTCATTTTGTTAAATTATTTGCAAAGCATGTAACATTTGGTCCAGAAGACAAGCAATACACTATTTTATCAAACACATGCAAACTAATGCCTTGCATTTCAAGTCTTGTTTCTACAAGAGACTATAAAAACATTTAGGAGGATTTAGGAGGCCTTAACCCCTTTTCCAGCATAAATGAAAAGGCCCTGGAAGATACTGTACATCAACTTTGGAAAAGCAAAGAAAATGAGGACCCACCGAGAATTGTACATAAATGCCATTTAATAACTTAAAATCCAAAATGTCTTGGCAAGAACATGGATTCTGTATAACTAACCATTTAATCTCCTCAGTTCTATTCCACTCCAGGGAGTACAGCACAACACAGAGGCCACAGACGCCTGCAAGTGGTTAATATTTACACTTCAGCTCCAGAATAAGCAATATGTCTTCATCCTGAATTCATAAATCCCTGGCATTTGGTTAACGGAGACTGTTTTTTTTTTTAGTTTCTTCCTCTCCTCTTACATACTTCAAACATCAGGTATGAGTTAAAAATAAAGTGAGCTTTCAAGCTTCACATTTATTTAGTTGCACGCTGAAGTTAAAATGTTCCTGAACTACCTCTTGATGTTTACATGGACACTTCCAGGTATTATGTTCTTTAACAGGAAATTGTACACAGCTAAACTTCACTTAGTCTTACTGCCAAAGCAAACTAAACACCAACGTCAAAGCTGCTTAATGACTTCGCAAGATAACAAATTAATAAGGGTGAGTCCCTTGTCACTCACTTTCCAGGGTAATGAGGAGGTGAAACAGCCAACTAAAAACACAGTGGACAGAAAAAAACCAAAACCCTTTTTAGCCTGTAGTATTCCAGCCCTTTTCTCACAACTCACAAGCGTAAGCAGTGCAGACAAAAATTATTAGTTTATTTTTTCTCAGTAAGAGGTTTTTTTATTAGAATTTTGACTCTGCATTTCACACAGCTTCTCTGATTTTAGAGACAAGGACAATTATGGGGGAAATGTACACAGAGGATATGAAGCTGTGGCCACCCAGGGCCAGATCAATTCACTTTACTATACATCTTTGAACCCCTGATTTATCCCATTCATTAACATGTAATAATTATTAAAAAATTAAAATATAAAAAAAAATTAAAATGAAAGCCATAATCACAATTTTGTGTCATTATAGTTCAGCTAATTTACAGTAATTTACAGGGTGTCATTTAGTCATTTGATTAATTGTAGTATTTTAGCAAAACCACTCTATGCCAAAATCAACCATTTGTATCTTATTTAAATGCAAAATCCAACCCCTGATCACGAATTCATAACATTCAGACAGTTGTGTACAAATACAATTTCCACAAGTGTAGCGGAGTCACGTTCTGCCTTCTTGGTGTCACGTGCACAAGTGAACTCACAAGGATTTCCCCTGCAGTTACTGTAGGTTTAGTTTCCAGAAGCTACTCTTTCATTATTGACAGCTGCACTGAAGGCAATCAACAGAACGAGATTAACAAAGATGTTTTTCTTAAAGACGTCTCTGAAACTGTGGCTTATTCCCTGTGAGTGTGTACAACAGAAAAACAGTGAATTTAAAGGAGTCAGGTTTACATGAGAAAGCAGCAGTGTTCTACATATTGCACACTTGTACACTGCACATGTGGTATCTAGCGATCAGCTCAGTGTCATCCCTCTTTGAAACTGAGGTGCTTATCTGGACAAATTACATGACACCGACTAGGGACATAGTGCATTACAATGGGACCGATAATGTACCACAGGTTCAGATCTGATTTTAAAAATGCTGATTTCAAATTAGATCTGGTCAGTTCTGAGATCAAGTACAGTACACTTCTCCAATGGAAAGCATGTGGATTGCACAATGTATGATGCCTATGAACAGTCTCTACTGCTGTATATCAGAACAAGAAAGAATCTGTATGAAGCATGCAGTCCTTTTGGGGTTTGAGGGCTGGGTGTCACTCCTGAAGAGGTACTGAACATTCAAATCACAATAGGCATTTGCAGACAAAGGTACTGTAGGCACACTCTTCATTAGACACTTTGTATGCCAATTGATATGATTTGGTAAATGTGGTTTTATTGCTACAGTATTTTTTCCAACAGTGTATAAAGGTGATTCCAGGTGAACACACTGAGTTCTGACAAGGAGTACGAAAGGGCACTGTTTCACTGCAGCTCCTCAGAGAGCCATGGATTTGTAGTTATCAGGGTTGGAACCAGTTAGCTGAACGCTGTTAATACACCCAGAAGATTTAGAGTTCCGTGCTAGGATGAATCAATGAGTACAGTACAACATTGAACAACTTTGTTAAATAATAACATTTTACTGTAGTAAAATAATTAGTATTTATAAAATTTAATGAAATAATAAATACCTGTTTCAAATTAAGTATCCTTCCTTAGAGAACAGTTGTACAACTCCCTTATAATCCTTTACTTCAGTTCAGTTAAGACTACCCCTTTTATTAAACAAAATGTAATCATATTTTAGCACTTAGAAGAGGTGTGGGTATTTACTGTAGGGAGTAATTACAGTTTGGACAGCACAGGTTAGAATGCAGATGCAGTGTCTGTGAGATTTTGTTCCACCTCTGCTCTTAATGACTTAAATGAACTAATCAATTAAGTGACCCAGTTTAACAAACCTCTTTTCAGAGGTCTTCATCTGTGGATGTTTTCGAAAGACCTGGAAAGCCTCCTGCCTTCTGGGCCTCAAGGACTGGACCTGCATACGTGTGGAGGAGACGAGGTCTTTACGACCTGCGTGTGCTGAGCTCGGAGCAGTGGTTAGCTATGCCCACCAGGAGGAGCAATTCCAGAAGCAGGCTGCACTGGCCATACACGTGCTCAAAAGGCCCACTTGCTGTCTGCCTGCCTCCTCTAAGCTGAAGAGTCCCAGATGGAACGGGGTCAGCAGCCATACACTCATTCTCACAGTGGGGTCATGGACACCAGATAAATAAAACCAGTGGCATGAACAGAACCCTGTAACAACAAGTACAACACTATTACAATGAGTTAGGGTCCTGCCAGCTCAGGTCATGGAAAGGTCTGTTTTATTTGCACTACGGACAGATCACATGGAGTGAGTATTAGGCTGTGGAGATGAAGCCTTCCTCCCTTGAAGAAAGTTTTAATAAACTTCAGTGCGCAACTCCAATCTGCAGTCGAATTCTTCTTTCTTTTGCAAACATTCCACATTGAAACCCCTTTGAGGCCGGAATGAGGTGGGATGGATCAGGATGACAGGAATTTACGCATTTCGCTTTTTGTCAGAAGTGGAAGTTCCTGTGTGATGACTTCCACAGGGTAACATTGGGCATCTTTTAAAACTGGAATTAATCTGAGGTATTCAATGGTATTTCTAAAGAGCTCAGAATTTATCTTAAGAGAAAGACCAAGGACAAGTAGAAAGTTTGTTACAAAATGCACCAAGCTTTCGGCAGCACTTCAGATCAGTAGCAAACGGTATTAACATGCCTAGTGTACAGTGTCTAGTATCTTTTTTCCTTATAAATGTGCTCTGAATATATTCCTGAACTGCTGGGTAGCAAACGAAGCACAGACCCTTTCTATCAGCGCCAGAGATTCCAGTCATCTATGTTATTGCCTCTCCTCCATTGCTGATCCATATAGGAATAAAGCGGAGCAGATGCTGTTTTTCGTCGTACAGCCCTGCTTCTAATTAACTTCTCACTGCAGCCGTTCCCCTCAAAAGCAAAACAATTCTAATGGCTCCCATGTGTTCATTAATGATGAGCGCAACTATGAAAGCACGCCCATTTCATTCTAGGGTGTCCTCACACAATTTCTACCGAAACTTTTAGTGCCAGTCCTTGAGCAGGATTTCGGCGTGAATGGGTTTGGAGACTGGTCAAGCCTCTTGGCTCGGCAGCAGCAGCCGGTCCCTTCCGTTGTGTGAAGGTGTGGAAGAGAGGAAAGAGACAGGGGCCTGCTCACCGCCGCGGTCTCACCGCTACGGATATTCATCCAAACCCTTCTGCCACATTTTTCTGGGAAGAGGGGGTGTGGAAGTAGAGGGCAGCTTGGAGCAGTCGAATTGCTTTAACAGCACAAAAACCAGCCCGGTCTAAGAAATCCTGTATTTCCTAAAATACCAAATTCTCATTATGAAGTCAAAATGCCTCTTCCCTATTTCTGGATCCCAAAGTGCCATTTGAACCTTTCACCTTATGGGGTGTGTGCACACAGCTTTATCCTTTCAGCGGGTCTCTTCAGAAACAGGACTTTCTCCCGGGGAAGAAAGCAGCAAGAAGGCACTTGCTTTAACAGCTCCTTCAACAAGGCAGCTAAGGCCAGAGTACCCTGAGGAACACAAGCATGGGCTGTTGGCATTAGAAAATAAAACTGCTTAACTATAGCTTGCAACCGAAGATAAAGCTGAGCACCTTGCTGACGCATCATCAGCTACAAAATTACCCAAATAGCTGAATAGCTTCTTCTTTCCTGACCTTTATTATATACTTAAGTACTATGATTTCACTGATAGGCCTCTCTGTTAGACGTGGACC